AGTTGGATACTTTCATACTCCCAGATGTAATTATCTGGGGAGATGGCTTATGCTTATGGGGAAACCAAAGGAAGAATTCTTTTTTTTTATTTAAAAAAATTTTTATTAATGTTTATTTCTGAGACAGAGAGAGACAGAGCGTGAGAGGGGGAGGGGCAGAGAGAGAGGGAGACACAGAATCCGAAGTGGGCTCCAGGCTCTGAGCTGTCAGCGCAGAGCCCGACACGGGGCTTGAACTCACAGACTATGAGATCATGACCTGAGCCAAAGTCGGTCACTCAACCGGCTGAGCCACCCAGGCGCCCCCTGCCAAAGGAAGAATTCTCAAAGGAAGTGCCATTCCAGCTGGACCCTGAAGGTATGGATCAAAGATGGTGATGGCCATGGAGATGGGACAGTCACTGTCCAGCCACACATTAAGACTCGTTCTGCTTGGTGTAGGGGATGCGGCATGTGCAAGGGAGAAATGAGCAAGAAGCTCTCTTCTGCCTCTGACACGAGCAAGGCCCCAAGGTCTACCCTGTGGTGCTGCAAGCTCACAGGATCCCCTTTTCCCCTCTTACCAGCCAACGTGGTTTTCATTTCAGCACACTTAACAGCAGCCTATTCTAATTGTCACTATGACGGAAGAACCCCTTAGTTTTGTTATCTGCATGCCTGATGATGGAAGGAGAGAGGGGACCAGGCCCATCCTTGTTATTTATTCTCCCCTGCTGTGCTATCTGATGTGATGACTTCCTCAGTCCTCCCTCGCTCCCTTTGAGGTCCTCAGTAGGCAAACGCTGGCTACCGTGTGCGAGAGTACGGATGTAGGACATTTCCCTGGTCATAGAAAGTTCCCCTGGGCACCCTGTTCTACTTAATATTTTAATATGATCATCTGTGATAAATGTAGTAAATCAATTATATACAGGTGGTTTTATAGTATATTGATACTGAACATTATTTTACTGTGGTATCGAATATGTTACTCTCACTGTTTCCTGCCCTGGTAAACAAATTATCCAAGCAATTAAACTCCTGATTCTCTGTGACAGCCAGTGGTGGAAACTTCTGAGGTCAATGAAAAGTTTTCATGAGAATCAGCATGGGTTTTCTTAAGTAGTCATTAATCTTATTAAAACAACTTCGTTAGGCCGTAAGCCCACTAAAACACATTTAAACAAATGGGAAGTATGCACATTATGCGGGTTTCTCGGAAAGTCAAAGCAAATAATATATGTCATCTTTAAAAAGGGGTTTTACTCGATATGTTGCAAGTATTCTTAACGATTTCTGCAATTTCTTGGATGAAGCAGGGAGGACAAAGGAAGAGTGGAGACTTGCCTGAGGATTATGTTAACTCGACAAAATGAGAGAGAGAAACTAAAGATAAGGACAAAAAGGATAATGCTAAGGAAACCCTAGGGGCACTTTAAATGGGCACAGTGACTCACACTTTAAAAAGGGCCCCGAATGCTAGCTGTGCTTTTTAACTTCTGTCCAGAAAAATAAATAAGTAAGTAAGTAAATAAATAAATAAATAAATAAACTTCTGAACGAAAGGAATGTACTTTACTTGTAAAATCATTACATCAGTAGACTCACCCTCGGGGCTTATGATAAAATAATCATCGTCAAGCAAAAATAAAAAAATGTATTGATAGCTGGGGTAGGGGGAAGACCTTAATTGTCTAGATGCTGTTCAGGAACATCTGATAAGGTCGGGTTCAGAGACTTGAGGGGTGTGGCTCATGTCTCTACACCAAGCCCTAGGCAATAAGTTGAATCCTTCCTCCCGATTTTTTTTTCCTCCAATTTTTTTTTTTTTTTTTTTTTTTTTTTTTTTTTTTGAGGAATAGTTTCACAAAATGCCCCACAAAAGGCGTGCTTCTGAGGTCAGATAAAGTCTGGGATGTGCTGTGCTCTCTACTTCTGTTACAGAGTCACAGAACTCTCTGGAAGTCCCACAGTGAGGTTTGCTCACCTTGGCTTAATTTAGCCTCCCTGAAAATGGTTTGGCGAAGGAATCCCAGGTATTTGGGCTTTACACCATGTCGCAGCCTGCAAACCATGATGGTGTTCTGTAAGGTGTCCCGAATCCCTCAGGGAGCCCTACGGTTTTGTATGAGAAAAGTCTGTGGTTTTAGGATGTTGAAGGATTCAGGAATGAGTAGCATGATGTCCGCAACTTAATTACAAATGATTCAGCCAAAAATATATACATGTGTAGTATATGTGTAGGTATGTATATGTGCACACACACACACACACACACACACACACACAGACACACGGAGAAGGAGTGAGCTGAAAACATGGCAAAATGTTCACAACTGGTGAATGACAGCAAAGGATATAATTTCTAGTACTTTTGAAGTATTTCTCTAGTTTTGAAATTTTATTCTGTAAAAAGAGGGGAACGTTATAAACACCATCACAAGCTGTACTGGTTATTTTAGGGAGCGAAGGGGTCACCATATGGAGAGTTGATTAAGCAAGAGAAAGGATTTTACGAGCCAGACAGAAGTGAAAGGGGAAGGATTCACGTCGTTGACTGGAGACAGGGACACGGCTGGAGAAAAGCTTTCCAGGGCATTCTTCACACCTCCTTGCCATTCCTTGAGAAGTTGTGGTTCCATCTTCCAAAGTCTGTGCCTCAGACCCTCAGTCAGGCCAATGGGAACATTGCCCAGAAAAACACATGGTGGTGTTGCTTGTTCTTACTCCTGTCCTGTGCACTGCAGACCTCGGTGTGACACAGAGAAGTCTGCCAACTTTAAACAGCGTGATGCAGCCAGACTAGCGATGAAGCCACCCTGAAAAGGGGATCTCAGGATTTACCTGAAAGCCCCAACTTCTGGACCACGTAAAACCAACAGCTTGAAATTTGCCGTAGCCAGGGCTGGCCTGACCTTGATCTTCCTGGGACTGACTATTAATCCCCAGCTCGCAGCTGGCTCAGGGAAGCACGTGTAATAGATTGCACGTCACCTTATATGCTTCCAGGGCACAGACGTGGGCACGCAGTATTTTCTGACTAACTTCTCAAGGACTTTGGTGAAGGTTGCAGCATAGAAAGCTGGAAGAGTTACGTCCCCAGTCTTCGGTTGCCGGTTGCCCCTGCCTTTATCATTTGCTGAAACAATATTGCAAACGTTGCTGTTGCCCTGAGGGAGAAGGAAGAGCCATTTAGTTTCATGGATGCATCATTTACTATTGCAAAGCTGTTGCTAATATGCTCTTTCAGACAATGCTAGTGTCTTTGCCAACCTGGCTCCCCTTCCTAAGCTCCTTCTCCCATTCCTGTTCCTCCTCCTCCTTTTTTCTTATTGTTTAACCTTTACAGTAGGTTATAAAAATTGTAAAATTGGATGTGTTCATATTTCTGTTGAAGGTTTTAACAATAAGGGCTCCTACCTCCCTCGTTAAGCTCTTCTTGGAACACAGTGAAACCGTCAGACAGAAATGGCCTTCTGATGTTCTGTCAGTTATTATGGTATTTCTATAACTTTACGGTCCTACCCATTGCATGTATTGAACTGCATAAACCTCATGAATCTATCTTATGTAATTATTATAGTTGCTAATAACAATGTGATACCTACAGACTTGAGTATCTTGTACGTTAAGGCACTAAGCTACAAAGAGGCGTCAAAAAGACAATTTCTTACCAATACAAACATATACTTATACTTTACCTTCCCTTCACACTGGAGGCTAAATATTAGGCTACATATTAATTTCCGGAGAGTAATATTTATAAAATATATTGCTAATAAATGTTAACATAATAAAGTTTGACATTTTTATTGTGCTTTACATGTTACAAAGTGTTGTCACTTACAATATCAGTAAAGATGACTGAACAAATGACAGTTCAATATGTCTACAGATGTTGTTTTATAAACAAGTAAAAATAAATGGGGTTGCATAAGACTTAGGATCTCTTTTTGTTTCTCATTATTCTTGTACTAATTGTTTTTAATAAACCATATGCACTTGGGAGGCTGAAGGTTTTTTCTCATAATGATAAAAATATTCTTTATTATTTCTAGATGATCTTGATGATAATAGTAAAATTTTAAACAAAGTTTTTATGCCACTACATTTTATGTAATTCCTATGCAACAAGAAGTAAGGTATAAAGGTTCAAAGAACTGTTTAATGTTATAAATTTTAAAAAGACAGTTATTTTACTAGCAAATGCTTCTAAATAAAGTGAGTTCTTTGCAGAAATGGCATCGTGACACTATTTGGAAAGGTTCTCCTAACGGACAGAATAGCACTACGTGTGTATGGTAACATTTGAGAGAAGTGATCAGAGATGTTTAGTTATTGATTTTTTTTTTTTTTTTGTCCAGCTTTTACTCTTGTGTTATTTGAAAGGCATTTGTCAAGGTAGATCCAGACAGAAGTGTGAAACACAAGGCGCCCATTTCTGCACACTGCGGCCGGGTTCCATTAAGCCCCTCAGGACTCTTGTCTTACTTTATGTGTGCCTGTGCATTGGAAAGTCTTCCCTGGAAACCCAGGAAGCTGTGATCAGGCCACTCACATCATGAGAAATGGGCTGGCGTGTCCCTGTAGATAAGATTTTAAGAGGAAAAAATCTAGAGCCCTTCAAAACTGTGTAAGAAGCATGAACTAGAATTCAGGAGCAGTGGTCTTTAAATTTCCGATAGTCCCTATATTTCCTGTGCTTTTAGAAAATCTCAGTGGCACAGAATGCATCTAACTTCCCCGCGTGGCAAATACTCTTGGCTGGCTCTCTTGGCAGCAGGTTGCTAACTTTGCTGAGTAAGTCACAGGGCTGTTGGCAGGAAGAAGAAAAGATTTTCACTCTTTTGAGCATAAAACTAGATTTTCTAAATTAAATTGTTGCATCCTCGTTGGAATATTTATCCCGCTAATGTTTCAAAATGCTCCCGAGGAGTTCGTTTAAAAATTTGTCTCAATTTGGATTCAACGCTGATTGGCTACTTCCTCTGCTTTTTTTTTCCTTGCCCCCCCCCCCCCAGCAGGTAGACCGCCTTACAACAGCTTTTACGTTTATTGCAAAGGCCCCTGCCAAAGAATACAGCCAGGAAAACTCAGGGTGCGGTGTGGTACCTGCCGACAGGCGACGCTCACCTTGGCCCAGGTAAGGAGATACAGCATTGGCAGAAACTGCCCAGAAACATGAGTGTGTGTTTCTGGAGATGGCTTTCAGGGTTTTGAATCCAATAAGACCCATGGCTCAAGAAAAGAGACATTCTTCTATGCGGTCGTGATGGTTAATGGTATCTGAAGTTTCATTTAAAAACATTTCTCTGTCAAACTTGAGGTAGTGCCGAGCCGTTGCTTCCCTATCTTTAATCCAGGCCTACTGAGAGGATGTACAGAGACGCTTTTATAGCGAAAAGGTGTCGGGCTTTGGCGGGGGAGTCTTTTAGAAGAGGCCAGGAACTGGAAATGTTTCATGTCTTGTTCCGTACGACAGTAATGTGGTTGTGTGCGTGTGTCAAAATCCACTGGACGGTTCACTGAAAACGGGTGCACTCGGGGCCGCTAAACCTAAGTTATGCCTCACGGAAGAAGCAGAAAGGGAACTCGTGGATCGACAACTGTGTGCACACGGGTTGGGCCAGCTGCCACCTGCCGTGGCCTCCACTAGTGTGGCACAGCTCACTGGCTAAGAAGGATTTTACATTTTTAGGTGGCCAGGAAATATCAAGAGAATGCTGTGTGGCCCACGGACGTTATATGAACTTTAATCTCCGACCTCCATGATACAATTGTACCTGAAGGCCACTCATTTCCTTACGTGTTGTCTGTGCCGCTTCTGTGCCCACAGTGGGGTTGAGCGGTTACCGCACAGACTCGTTGCCCTGCAGAGCCTGGCGTATCTATCTCTGGCCCCCTAGAGAAAACCCTGATATAAAACGTGTGCACAGCTAGGCCATGGCTCCCCCGTGATGGTTGTGTAGGATTTGGCCAAAGTTGATGCGGATGTGAATGTGCGCGGGCACAGAGGGCATTCTGGTTGGTGCAGCTATGGGGGCTCAGCCAAGGAGGCATTAAAAAGGTCAAAGGTTTTCAGGCAACCAGGGCTGAAGTGGGGACAAGTACTCCCTGACCACAGTGCCCCCCCGCCACCCATGGCTACCACATTTAGATTTTATTCCACAGGCAATGGGGAGCCAAGGCAAAATGTTAAAAATAAAGGTGATTTATAAAATGACGTTTTAGAACCCTTTATTAGTCGTGTAATGGTTTGTCATTGGCACTGGTGTTGGTGACAGATTGAAGTCAAAGAGGCCTAATTAATAGGCTCCTCATATGGTTGGTGGGCAGTGGGGCACTGGCCTGGGTCAGGGTGGTGGCCCATGGCATGGGTCTAACGGAGCAGCATGGTAGAAAATGAAGGATATACCCAGCAAAGGAGAAATCATGGATCCCTGCCTCAGGCCTGGGGAAGACGGTGGCATCACTCAAAGGTACAGTACAGTATTTCATCATCATACAACCTGTCAGCTCCACAGGGGAATCCTGTGAACTCCACTTAGGAAGACAAATCCTAAGTTTGTTCTGACTCTCTGGACTGGACCGTTTTCTGGGGGCATCACTAGGCAGCGCTTCTGTTTGTGAAATGGGTTCTCTTAAATACCACAGAAGTTTCTCTTCCACCAGAATCTCTCCTCTGCCACTAGCCTTTTCGAGTGCATTAAGTAGCCTCTTCTTTTTTTGATCTATGCTTCAGTATTGATTGCCTCTGATGGTGGATGTGACCTAAATATACCAACTTCCAATTGTTCTTAGTAAAAACAGCAATAACAAATTATTATTGAAATCCATGCTTCATTATTTACCTGCATTATGTAATTGAATTATTTCATAACACTCTTAAGTACCGTCAGTGACCTTATTTTAGATGCGAGAAATCTGAAGCTTGAAGAGATTAAGGAAACAAGAGTTTATGAGACCAGGGGCTTGAACCGGGCTGTGTGATCTAAACTAGTAAACTCTACAGTCTCCCCGTTTTTACTGCACAGATATATTCACACTAAATGTCATGTGCTCAGATATCCCCAGTGATCAGACAGGTGATTTAAGAATGGGTGAGAAGTGGGCATCGGGGGTGGTGAGGACCACGGTGGCTGAAGAGGCCAAGAAGCCACTCCCGCCACTTGTTAAGAAGTGATTGGCTTAATGGGGGCAATCTTTTAATTAAGAGAAACTGTAAATGGGGATTTTTATGTGAAATTTCTCATATTAAAAATAGGCTCCATGGGGGGGGGGAAATCGAAAACAAAAAGAAAAACAGGCTGCGGTGTCTGTGTAAATGCATGAACCAAAGTTGTATCGTATGGGTTAAATGGTACATTAACGTTGGGTGTGTAGAGGGCCTGGTGAGCGGTAAGCACTTACTTAGAGGGAGTGATTGTTGAGAGGCAGTATGGTGGGATCCTGAGAAGATGAGTCTGCAGACTCTTTGTACTCCATGGGTTAGAATTCATATTTCATTATTTCCCATTTACGTCAACATAAGTGGGGACATCTGTCCACTGGGATAATGGTATCTACTTCTTATTTCTTGGGAAGATTAATTAATCTATGAAGAGTATTTAGAACAGTAGCTGGAACATAAATAATTAGAAATCTTAAATGCTTTCTTATTGTTACTATTTTACTATTATACTTAACACACACACATATACACCCCCCCCCCCACACACACACACTTCTATGTAATTCACCGTGAAATCAATCCATACTTTGGCTAACTCCTTTCAAAGAAATGAAAGCATCCCCTTCCCACCCTGCTCATCAAGAAGCTCTGTGTATTTCCCTCACCCGCTCACCTGGACCAGCATGTCCTTGGAGGGATGATCTCATGCACCCATGGCTTCTGCCCCATCTCAGATGCCCACTCCCATGGCCACCCCAGACTTTGTCAGTGCCTAGGACTGCTCCACATTTGATTATTAAATTCAGACTTTTATTCTCCCTACATTGTTTTTACTCTGTACGTTGTTAACCCCTCTCTTAAATTTTTCTAGAGCTGTCTCGTGCCTTTTCTTCACTTCCTCCCCTGACAGGCTCAAACTTCAACCCCATTATTACAGATAACATTAAGTTTCTGTTCCACATTTTATGCAATTGTCCAGTTGTCTATATTCCTAGTGTCCCTAAGCCTCTTGTATCAGATAACTTGTCAGTTGGCATCCCTGGTGAATTTCAGCCCTCCGCACAGTATCTTGCCCATGGTGGGGCACAAAGCTGGCAATGCTAACTGAATGGCACCTATATTTGAACTTTTACACATTGACAAGATAGACCCATGTACTTTAGAAATTCTGTGTGACATTTTGTAATCATAGTAATTATGATTGTTTTGCTACCATTTATTGATTTCCTTCATTACATTTATATTCTGGTACTTCTTTTTTTTTCTAATTCTCATGACAGAACTGCACTGTAAATATTATTGTCTACTGTTTTTAATAAGGAGACTCCATGAAGTTAAGTTATGAGCCCAAAGTTAAACAATTAACAAATGTTGATGCCAGGGATGAAAAGTCTTCTGTGTGTCTATAAAGCCTTTTCTAGGATAGATTGCTCACTATACAAATCTGGTAATCAATGTCCTATTACCCAACTGCTTCCCTGTACTTAAAATACCATTCAAAAAAAAAAAAAAAAAAAACTACTTAAAGATTTAGGAAAAATGGAAAAGATTTAAAGATTATTTATTTAATCTAAAACGTTAGTATTGTTACTAGCTGTAACATGCCTGGAACCCAGTAAATGAGGACTTTGATTTTTTGTTAATAACAAAAATCCACACTCAGTCGTACCTTCAGAAGATATCTCTGGAGCAGCTGAGTAGTCACACTAGTCTGCAAGTTAAGTCTTGGCAGTGGGTGGGGCAGGTGCTGAACTTTGTGGAGAGGAAGCATTTCTATGAAGAGAATAGGCAACTCTTAGGTTACATTTTTTCGAACATTATCCAGATCTACAACTTACAGAATTTTCTGTAGTCGAGAGAAAAAACAAAAAGGAAAGGACTTTGTGTGGCTGACGATTTACAGTAGAACAGGGGGTGGTTTATCTGAGCTCTTGCAAGGAACTTGTTATATGCAAGGAGAAAAACCAGAACCTACTTAGCCACCTGGGTTATATTTTGTAACATAATTTTATTTTTTCTGGTCTGGAAAAAAAATGAGTCTACAATAGGCCCTTTGCCTTTCATGGGTCTTAATAGTAATCTCCTAATTAATTTTTGTTGTTGTGGGGGACTTACTCCTAATGCCAACATTTCCTCGACACTATTTAAATTTTGCATGCAAGATAATGAGCTGCCTCTCATACCTAATGCTCTAAGGTTTAAGTGTTTACATGTTTCATATTTAATACGATGCTCTTAATGAGTTGGCAAGGAAGATAGGACGGCCATTTCTGCTGTGATGTTAAGAATGGGAAACTGATGTCTGAAGTTTGGGCCTGACCTTGAGGGTAAATTGAAAATCAGCTGGGACGCCAGGTTTTCTTCTGTCTTTACATGAAATTACCTTCTTTATTTCATGGTGACCTTGGCCAGGGTTTCCACTAACCAAAATATCCTTGAGAAACGTGAATGCTCACTGGAAAATAGTGAACAGCGGCTGATTTGAACAAAAAACATGGCAGGCCTCCAATTTTCATTTGCCTTTGCAAAGACAGTCCACTTAGGTCCACCCAGAAATGACACAGGGCTGAGCTCAGAAGTAAGGTTGCTTTGTACTTTCATGTATGCTTCTGACTGTGTTCTTGAACAATAAAATGGGTAACCTAAAATTACCTGAGTCATTGTTTCCTCATTGGTGTGAAAAATCAAATGATGACTAAGTCAAAGCCTCAGAGACTTTCTTCTTTTTTTATTTAATACAAAAAATAAATGTAGACAGAAAAAGTAAGGTTTTCCAAGGTATGTAGAGAATACATGCTTTTAGAAATAACTAGAAATTAAAGAAGGAGTTTATACTGGAAAAAGAAGCAGCACCGAAAGGCTTAAAGATGCTTGTCTTCTTCTCTCCCCATGGGTGCCGCTACCAAACTCAAGGTTAGAGGGTCCGCAGCCGTGGTCCTTCCAGTCCATCTTATTGTTAGACTGCGAGTTTG